TATTAAATAATTAACTAATAAATAAATAAATAATATATAATAATAATGGATGTTGTTGTTTAATAATGATATATTATTGTTAAAATATAAAAATGATGATAAATAATAATAAATCCTATCACCAACAGATATTAAATAATTTAAATATAAATTTATTGTTGTATGTATAAATGATTTCATATTGATTTGTTGATGTTATTGATTCAGGAAGATATTTTGTTGATAAATTTAATGATATTAATGGTGATGAATAAAGTGATTAATGACATAATTAAAATATTGAAAGAAGTTTTTCAATATAAATTTATTAAAGTATATCATAGAAATGTTCATCTTCAATATAATTTTTATTTATATTTATTTCTTCATTTTTAAAACGATTACGTTGTTGATCAATTGTTTGATTTATATTTTCCATTAATTTTTTTTTATTAATAAAATAATTTGTCGTAGACATCTATCATATAAATTACATTGACGACGTATTGATGATGATGATCATAATTAATAAAAGATATTAATCGATGAGAATATCATATTGAGTAAATGATAATGGTCAATATGAATAACAAAATGAGCAAACAAAATCAATTATATAACGACAAAGTTTTAAACGTATTGATGATGTTGATTGAGAAATATTTTGTTTAAATAGATAGGTTAGAAATTTAAAATGACTATTTAAACGGAGCATGAAAATCATTACTTATAAGACGATTAAGAATAGATAGAAGAGTATTAACGATAAAGACTATTGACATTAGTTTATGATGAGTGAATATCTTCAGATTGATTTGATTTATCTAGAAAAACAATTTTAAAATAGTTATCTATTATTCAATTAGAAAACAGGACTATTCATTGCATCTCAAAAACCTTCTACGATCATAGAAAAGAAAAGCTTGTGCACCATCGCCTCAGCAATGAACACTCCTAATAGAATTAATAATTTTTTTTTTCTGATAATTGACTATAATAGAGGAATAAACATTGTTTCATATCATGGACGAACGATCATTGTTTCAGGTCAAACAGACAGAAAAGATAAAACAGAGCTAACGAATGAAATCGCTAGAATCGTTCAATTCTAGCTTTTTGTTCTTCATACGATATGTAAAGATAATCGGTGTATATTGCTATGACTGCTACCAGATTAGAAGATCTACCAAATGAACTGTGGTTAGAACTTTTCGTCTATTTCACATGGTTTGAACTAAATTCAACATGGCTTCAATGGAAACTTAATAATCGCATACAATTGTTAGCTCAAATAGCACAGAATCGAGTTGCTTTGTCACTCTCATCGATGTCGTTTATAACGTATGGTGAATGGCTGCATTATTTTGAACATGAACATCCAATAATAGCTCATCGTATAACTTCTCTTCTGCTCAATGAATCAATTATATCGAATGAAATTATTAGTCGGTGGCTTGAAAATGAGAAATCTTTTCTTCCACGTATTCGAAAATGTACTGTCTATGTCGATCTTATCAATAGATCTGCTCGAATAAATATTATCCTACTCATTTGTCGACATGCATTGACTTTACGTCATATTGTGTTTTATTTTAATGAAATCGATAGATATTACGTGATAATGAAAAAGGTCATCGAAGAACGTATTTCTCTGCATACAATGCAATTCATCATGATTAAAGGTAAAGAAATGTTTTTTGTTGAAGTTGCTGATGATCGAATATTTCGAGTTAAGTAGAGTTGAATTTCAAATTAGTGAAAGCGAAATAGTTCATCATATATGATATATACTGATGATCACATATCGTTTTACGAATTCAGAAAAAATAATGTATAAATTAATTTCATTGTTGAATTAATCTTAATCGGATGATATGTTTCAAAGCTCGGTTTTGAATTAGCATAAATCGAAAAGCTTCGTTCTATATAGATTGTTTTCTTGAATCCAATTCTTATGATTTATTGACAAAATATTTAAACTTCATGATGAATTTCGTAATGAACTCGATGAAAAATCATAATAGATAGAAAATTTTTACTTAACTTCATATCGAGGTTCAGAGAGATGGTTTTGAGAGATTATTTGATGTTAAACGTTCGAGAAATGATATTTCGGAAATCTGAGCATTAAAATTATTCTTGTCTTGGATGTGTTCATGTCGAGAAGAATCTATAGAAAATTCAATGTTGATACTAATTACCAAAAAGAAATCTAAACAGAACGATTTAAATCTGTGAACGCAGCTGAAAAGAGGTACATAACATTTTCGCCCATCCTTCCTCATCCTCATTCAGACACACTGCGCAGAAGTATCGTGTCACTGAGTAAGAAAATATTTTTGATATTTTCAATAATTATCTTTGAAATTTAATCTTATCTTGTTTTAGATAGCAGATATTTTAAATGGATGAGTTCTTTAGCCGAATGTGCCACTTATTGTGATCAAATATTTACATTTCCAAAAACTGTTCGTTTGCGTATCTCGTTACAACATATATCTGATTTAGCGTTATTGATGCAATGCAATACTTTACCGCATATAGAAGATCTTCATGTTACAATGGAAACAGGAATATATACCTCACATCAATTAGATAATTGGTATGAGAATGCACCTTGTTCTATATTATGTCCTAATGATTTAAATACAACTGGAGCCAATCTACCACATCTACGCACATTACAATTGCGACAAGTAGACATTACTAATGTTATTGAATTGATACAACATGTGAAATCAATGTGTCAACTTGAATCATTAATTTTGGTGAACTGTAATGTTAAAGGTTAGAAAATCTAGATTATCAACAATTATAGGTGATAATATCACTCTTTCGTTTTTTTTATTTTCAGATAAGAATGAACTTATTGTATTTAAAAGCTGTATTAGAAATTTTATGATTTGTCTGCGTTGTCTTCGTTTTCTATTTTATTTACCTGCTGAAACCAAACTTGAAAAAATTGATCTCGACTGGTTTAATTTAAGTCATCATACTGTTGAATATGAGATAAATGGACTAATGGTACTTTACACAGTTCCATATCCATTAAATAGTCAACGACAAGTATATAATCATACGTTTGGACGACAGTCGACAATTAATAATAATATTAATCATATTGAATGGATAATTGATTGTGATCCTTTATCTATTGATACTACTCTTACTCATTTTCAATATGTTAATTCACTTGTTTTATTTTTTGATATTAAAGTAAATATTCAATGTAAAACTATGAACATTTTCATTTATTTGGATTGTTTAGGAAATGAATATAAACATAGATTCTTGGCATGTATTACTTCCATTTTTACGTCATCTGAAACTTAATTTTGATTCGAATCCAATCAAATCTGGGATATCGTATTATCCATCTGTAACACCGAGTCATTATCGTTGCATTATTCTTGAGCAATTTCGTAAATGTGCTTCTGCACTTGAGTGTTTGACGCTACACTGGTATGACCTTGAACTTCTTCTTGAACATTCTTCATCACCTTGGCCATTCGTTCGACAACTTAATATTCGTTTGAAATCACGCACAAACTTTCCATCTGCATCTTTGATCAAACAATTACCAACGAATAAAGCTTTTCCTCAACTACAATATCTTTCATTTAGTGGACGTCGTTTCTCACTCAATCCATCGAAACCACTCGCAACTTGGATCCTTTTATGTTTCGATGCTCTCGTATCTTCATCAAAATTCATCATATTACATGTAAATAGATGTTATGTTACTCATCGAAGTTTTCCTCTTACATCTCGTGACATACTTCTGACACTTCTTACAGAACATGTTCGTTCGAGAAGTGATCACTATTCATCATCTAAAATCGTTATCGATGAGAATGAAGAGATAATTATTTGGCTTTGAAAGAAACTTTTAATCATACAGTAGTAGCTATGTAAAGTAAATATGGAAGAAATTTCTATGACCAGAGAAGATAAGAAAATGAAATGTTTCTGTAAAATTTTTTCATAGAATTTCATAAATATAATAATTTGAACAAATTTTCAGTTTCATTTCTTTATATATAATGATAATGTATGCATGTATGAGTTAATTCTTGTATAAATTCTTTACGACAAAGATCGGCAATAGTAATAGGTACAGCGTATCGATGTACGAGAGTCATATTTGAAATTTTAAAATAAAATGAAATTAACACATTTTTATATCTTATCATATGGTTCACATAGTCAACTTGAGTCATTATAGTCATAATGATGTGATTATGACTCCTTCAATAAACAATATACATTTTATTTTCGTAAAAAAATACATTAAATGGATTTAGTATCACTCTGCATTTGCAGGTACATCTTTTTTACTAATCAATAATACAAAAGCTGAGTAATTTGCTGCATTTACCTTAGTCAAATTCGTTGAAAAATTTTGAAAAGTTAATGAAGTTGAAAGTTACAACTCAATTAACTTTTTAGCCAAAATGTTAATCGGTTATTGTAACGGTTATTCACCTGTTTACTTTACCTGTGTGTAATCTCTTTACCGAGCACTGACCTTTTCTCTCTTTGTTGTATTATGTATCTGTTCCTATATAAATTATGTGCAATAAAGGAAAGACACGATTGTGAGTATGCAGATGACACAAGACATCATCTTCAATCTGAAAAATGACTTCACCATTATCAAATGAAATTTATCAATCATAGAGTTTATCTTTGGTGGTAATTAACAGATTTATATCGAGATAACTTTTCACGTTTTCTTTTTATTGTTATTCACATTTATTTTCTCAAGATCAGTAGAACATATTGAATGATCCTATCTCGTTCTAATCTCAACGATTTTTCATTTACTTTGGAACAGTTAAATAGTCAATGATATAGTGGTGTAACCAGGGTACGGCATGAGCAGTAGGCGCTGCCTTACCCACCGATCATTTTTGAAAAAGCAATTTTTTCAAATAGTATTTGATTCGTATGTGGGTTACATATATTCTTAAAAATCAATTATCGCTTGAAATATAGAGGTGACTATTATGAAAATACTAATTGGTGGATTTCATTTCACAAATGATTTGCTTCCTCATGATCTTTGTAACGAATTTTGAATTAATAGATGTTGTTGTAAAATATGGATAGAATAATATTCGTTACTTGCTGCAGACTTTATTTTGTTTGTGATCACAAAGAGAAATTGAAAGAGTAGCGTTAATGCTATCCTCGGTATAAAAGGTGTTAACAAGAACTACCTGATTCGATCACCGGGACAAATTTTCTACTCAGAAAAAAAAGGGGTCCAATATATAAAAGGTACCTCTTCCATAGGTAGATACGTAGGATTGAATGGAGATGATCTCTCTTCTGGAATATGCCCTAGAAATGTTCAGTGGACCGTTGAATAGAGAATGGAATTATTCATCGAATGGAACTCAATGAGCTGTGCTTGATGTTTGAATTTTGCAAAAAAAGATTTTTCAATATTATTGGGATCTGATGGATAGGGAAATAAGGTTTGATTGATACAAGGAATTTAAGGTATAAGTACAATTCTCGTTGAAAATATAAACGCCAGGTTTATTTGGAAAGATATAGGAATGGTGTAATAAATGTTGTTTAAGATATTTGAACTAATTCTATTTAGCTGATATAATCGATTGTTGTTCATGGTTAGTGTAAAGTTTTTGCATTATATGTGTAGATTAGTTTGCATTCCTGCGGGCAGTTTTTTATCTTGCAGTTTTCATCTGTGAAATGGAATTGATAATAAGTTGAAGTATTTTTGGTGAAAACTCAAGTAAATCTTGGAATCAGAATATATTTCATTGATGACCTTGATAGTATTGATGTCGTCGAAAGTATCTGTTAAATTTTGATTGTTTTTTTAACCCTTGATATTTGATTTCAACATCTTATGATACTGTTTCGTAGCGACATCTTTCTAGTAAAATATCTGTACGAAGTTTTTTGTGTTGAACGAAATTCCACTATCCTTTGTATAATGATGGTTTGAATCGAATTTTGAATAATGTAAAGATAAACGCATTCAAAACTTGAAATAAATTGAATTGATACTAAATAAAATTAATTTTTCAATTTGTTTTATTTTATCTGGATTTTCAATGTCTTCAAGAATCGAAAACGTTCCGATTGAAGAAGCATCAATTAGTGCGATTTTGTCAACTACAGGCAATTGCTACATGCATCGCGATACTGATTATCTTGGATGACAATCGAACATTTATATTTCACTCGGATCCATCTTGCATTGATTTAGAAAACGAAGGTCAAATGGAATATGAAGTTCAAACGTTGATTAAAGAATCTATTTTAATGTTCAAAAAATGTGAAAATAAAAATAATTCATGTTTTAAAAATATTTTCATAATTGGTGGTTCAAATGATAGGAGATATAACGTATTCAATAATGAATTAAATAGAATGAAAAAAAAATTATACGACATTAACACCATTACTTGCCGGATTAAGTGTTGAGGAATTACAAAATTTTGTTAAATCTATTGTGTATTCCAATACAACTTTTAAGCTAGATGGTGATAGTGCAGCTGCAATGCATGGAGATGTACTTATTTCTGATACAACCATGCTCGCTGATCTTACTGTATCACCTCCATTATTGTTTGTTGCTCAGTATTACGATTTAGAAAGAAATTTACGTGGTGGTCGTCGAAGAATTGAGTCACATTTTTTTTAATATACAACTTTAACAGCAACTCGTGGAGCATAATTAAGAATCAATCATTCTATTTTCAACCAGCTCATATGAATGTGATTTTAGACCAATTTAAACATAATTTATTAGTTGATGATGTGCAATATACCAAAGATCAATTAATGAATTATCTTTCAAGAATTCGACATTAATTCTTCATCGTTTATTTACTCTTCTCTTATTTTATCTGATGACTATTAACCTTTGATGAAAAGTATTTTTCTTGCATATGTGATCATGTTAGTTTTTTTTATTGCTCAACTGATAAGATAAACCTTTTATATAACTACAAGATACATCATATAAACATATTGATTATTTATTTTGAAGATATAATAAAGAATAAAATTTTCATAGAATTAAGGTGAACATTTCAAGTGAAGAAGAAAAGAAAGAATTTTCATATATTTTATCAAAAAAAGCTTTTCATAGTTTATCCGATGGTCATTTATGGTTTTCAATCTTTTCTCGCCCACCATCTCAACAATTTACACGAGTTCAACGATGCACATGTTGTTTTGTTTTACTCTTCGTTTCAATGTTATCAAATATCATGTCTTATGATTTATCAAATGAAGCGAAAATGAATAACAATTCAAGAAGTCTTTTATTTGGGAACATTTTCCATCACATTCGATCAAGTAATTAATCTTCTCTTTCTTTCTTTCTTCTTCTATTCCCTTTTTATATTTAAGATTTTAATTGTTTTAATGAATGAATTAATTTCATTAATTCCAAGTATTTTATTAATTCAAATGTTTCGTCGTCTTCGATCTCGTAATCGACGAATTTCACCATTAGAAAAAGTTTTTCATCAAATGAAACCAACAACAACAAATTCCAAAGAGAAAAAGAAATGTTTGATCGCATTTTCATGGTGGTGTATTTTTATTGCTTATGGAATATCTCTTCTGTTAGTTCTCACTTCGATCTTCTTTATCATTGAACATGGAATTGAATTTAGTGATTTGAAAAATCAACAATGGTTAATTTCAGTTCTTTCATCATTTTTTTCATCCATTCTTCGTACTGAACCAATTAAGGTAAAGACTTTTTCATTAAGAATTTCACTCTGAATGAATTCCTTCTAAATAGATTTTATCTTTGGCGATATTTTTTGCATTTTTTTGTCAAAAATCAACAAGTGAAGATGAAGAAGCCAAAGAATATATAGATGAAAATCAACTTGTTCTCAATCAAGATGAAGAATATCTTCATTCATCAGTCGAAGTTTCAACTATTCGTCCAAATCGTTTAACACCAAATGAAATTCTTTGTGCTCGTCAAGTTTGTCTTCGTGAACTTCAAATGTGGTCAATTGTTCACGAAATCTTTATTTATCTTTGTTTTCTCTCGCTTTTATCGATCATTGTTTATTCAAATCATGATGAAAATGTATCATTTCAAGTTCAACATCTTCGAAAAACATTTCATTACCGCTAATCGAATGTTTTATCAATTAATGAATATTGGAAATGGTTAGAAAAAGATTTTGTCCAAAACTTCGAGCACAAAAATGGTACAATGGAAAGAATGTTGAATATTTTCATGGTTATTTGAATAATACATCAAATCGACTTCTTGGTTGGGCGTTAACCCTTTGGCTACCGCCGCCGTTTATAAACGGCAGGAGCCTCATTTTTTGCGTGAACCAATGTGATCATTCATAATGTATGTTTTTTAGGAGCATTTGCATTAAAACCAAACGTTAGGCGTCGTGCACTTTTCAACCCACCACTTGACTGACAAGCGTTAGTGAATCGCTACATAAAAATGAATAAATTTTCTGGAAAGTCGTTTTCTTCCTTCTCTTATGTCGGTAGTCAAAGGGTTAATGAAACAATTCCAAATTCTAACAGAATCATGTTCAAAACGAATTAAAATCAATTCAATATGTCGAAATAATTTCGAAGAAAAACGTTCATTTTTACCTGGATGGATTGAATATTCACAAGAAAGATTACATTCTTCGATATCTCAATCATTTCAATATAGATCAAGTGATGATGGGTATGTATATGAATTTCGTCGTTCATTATCAGATCTTCGAAATAATCTCTGTGAACATCAATTCGGTTAGATTGATCAACAAACACGTTTAATTGAAATTCAAATGTCACTTTATAATCCAAATGTTCAGTTATTTACTTTTGTTACTCTTCAAACAGAATTTCTTTCAACAGGAAGTATTCATTTTCAATCACGATTTGAACCAATGCATTTCTATGGTAAATCTTAATTGCATTCAAAAAGATAATTCTCCATCTCTTTTACTTTTTACATCTCTTTCCCAATTAATTTGTACAATTCTTTATTTGATTTTAATTCTTTATTTTATTTGGAATGAAACTCACTCATTAATAGAATTAAAATGGAACTATTTTTGAAATTTTTGGTCAATAATTAAAATTGGTTTGATCATTTGTTCACTTTCCTTACTTGAAATTTATTTTACTCGATATAAAATTGCCAAAAAAATTGGAAAATTATTTCGAGAAAGTCAAGGTGATATTTATATCAATTTATAAGAATCAGTTTATCTTAATGATCTTCTTAAATATTTCAATCGCTTTTGTTGTTTTTTTGGCACAATTAAATTTCTTCATGTATG